GAGAAGGATCTGCTAGTTGACAGCGAAGACCACGAAACGTTCAAAGCCTCAACAAATTAAGCCAGGCTTCAGAGCGGTTTTACGAGGTCTGTAAAAGCCAGGGCTTATGTCATCTATGCTGTTGGTAATGGCTTTGGACTCGTTACCGATAGGTTTCACAAATTACCTACAAACTTTCACATCGGAAATGCGGTGCAATAATTACTGCTCTCTTGACGATGTGGTTTTGGCTTTATTGTGCTAAAGACACATGTGATCTGATGTGATGGTGCATTCATGAATACTTAATAGAGCCATCACATTTAAAGGGTACTTCTGCAAATCAGTGTTCAAATGCAATGTTTGGTTTGGTTCAAATTTCTGCACTCTGCATTACCCCCAAAATCTCAAATATCTAGTAAAATAAGGAATTGTAACCGTATACTACTGATAATATCACAACCAATAGAAATAATGGTCAAAACCAGCAAAACTGACCAAAGCTGTAATAAACCAATCTGTATAAACCAAACACACTATGGAGTTGTTCGCTATAAAATGTAACCCACCGCACAATGAAATAACTGCTGACGGTTTTCTACACCTGACCAACAACATATTAGTACTTATTTTATGATCATGCACTCAAAACCCAGAAGTTCTGGCCACACACGGCGAGAGCAGTAGCGGGAAAAGCTGTTAAAATGTTTGCTGAAAGTGGGATTTTTTCTTTTTTTGTTCTTTTCCACAAGCTGCATCCTGAACAGGCCAGCGGGTTTCTATTGTAGGCCAATTCTGTGAAGGGGACAGACAAAACACACCTGCTAGCCAGTGCCATTCTACAGGAAGTTTAGGAGAAGTATGTGCTTAGATAAACATGATTTATTCCTCTCTCTCAGAGAGGGCGAGGCCAGCTGGCACTGGCTCAGAGAGCATGGCCAGGCACCATCTATTGACTGTTTCTCGGCTCAATAAAGGCTGGCCAACAGACCTCAGACGGTGGGCATACTTTAGGATGTATCAGCATCGATTTTGCGCCGCATAAATGTATACAAATGTAGCCGGTGGGTTCTTTTTGTATTCATTCAGATCATTGTTAATGGGCTGTTGGGGGACAGTTTGCGGATGAGTACGATTTACAGCGGACATCAGCGGCTCCTGGCCGCTGGTCGCTCCGCGAGTCTGCTCCGCGGAGTCTCAAAATGTGCGTTAAATGTGTCTGCGTGTGCGATGCACTCGGCGCGCCCCTTTGACCCCGCCGATGTGTTTCCTGTGCAGACGTGCAGCCCGTGGCCTACGAGGAGCCCAAGCACTGGTGCTCCATTGTTTACTACGAGCTCAACAACCGCGTGGGAGAGGCGTTCCAGGCGTCCTCCACCAGCGTGCTCGTCGACGGCTTCACGGACCCCTCCAACAACCGCAACCGGTTTTGCCTCGGCCTGCTGTCTAACGTCAACCGCAACTCCACCATCGAGAACACCCGGCGGCACATCGGCAAAGGTGCAGTACGGAGTTAATGACTGCGCGGCACTGGGTCAACTCGCTTTGTCAATAAGATATTATCAACCGATGGTGTTCACCGATTTTAAGGCGAAAGCCACGCGAAAATCTCCGCTTCTCCAGGTGATCGACGTCTGCTTCTCTCCCGCTCCCTCTCAGGTGTCCATCTGTACTATGTTGGCGGGGAGGTGTACGCAGAGTGTCTGAGTGACAGCAGTATCTTCGTCCAGAGCCGTAACTGTAACTACCACCACGGCTTCCATCCCACGACCGTGTGCAAGATTCCCAGCGGCTGCAGCCTGAAGATTTTCAACAACCAAGAGTTCGCCGAGCTGCTGGCGCAGTCCGTGAACCACGGCTTTGAGGCTGTCTATGAGCTCACCAAGATGTGCACCATCCGCATGAGTTTCGTTAAGGTAAGCTGATCGGCAATTTTTTTTGGTCGCAGGTAATGCGTACGGTAAACAAGTTGTTGCTCTTTTCTTTTTAAGAAGTCAGGGAATGTTAATTGTAAATGTACCTAATTGTAAAAAAAAAATTGGGGTGTAAATATAAACATTAGCATGCGACATCCGCATGTAAAATATTAACATGTTCTCAAGCAGAACTCAACAATAACACTCAACGGTCCAAATAAAGTTTGAACGAGTTCCAAAAATCTGGCGCCAGTACAAACTCTAAACAATGTGTTTTCATGTGCTGCAGGGTTGGGGGGCAGAGTACCACCGCCAGGATGTGACCAGCACACCCTGCTGGATTGAGATCCACCTGCATGGTCCCCTACAGTGGCTGGATAAGGTGCTAACCCAGATGGGCTCCCCCCACAACCCTATATCCTCCGTCTCCTAGGCTCCTCTGTCCTCGGCCTTATGGCTGTCCGTAGCCCAGCATTTTGGTCTAAGTAGCAAGGAGAGCGTCGCAGATCGGCTTTTGGTTCAGCCAGCCTGCCTTTTTCCGACAACTGATTTTGGCATTTTGATTGAAACACCAGCTGATCTGGGACAGGTGGGGCTGTGCGGGTTTTTTAATTGGTTTGTTGTCTACTTGAAGGATGTCTGAATTGGGCACATTTACAGTCTGGGAGAGGCGTAAGCAAAGCGAGCGTGATGCAACTGGAAGATACTTGATCTTTGTGACCAACTATAATAATTAGACCATCATACTCATCGTAACGCAAGTATCCTCCCCGATCTTGCTCCAACAATGTCTCTTTTTCATTGTTCTATTATTCTGACTCATTACTAGCTTTCGTATGAATATTCCCTCTAAAATTCAGATATACAGTACTTGTGTAGTTACAATAATTATGGGACATTCCACCAAAATTGCAGTCGGCAGCTGTATGCTGCCTGACTGCAGTAAGGTTGGCATGAAACGTTCTTACGACATGTAAAAGGTTAGCAGGGACTTGACCAGTATGACTGAAAAATTGTAATCGTCTCCAGATACTTAAAACGAGAGTGCCGTTTCTTCAAAGTGCTCTTTTTTTGGTTCAAATATGAAAGCAGTACAGAGTTGTCACGTATATAAAATCCCGTATCAGAGATCATGTCAAATAACGAGAGCGGGAGATTAGGGGGGGGGTTGAGAGTTAGGAGTGGGGTTTAGTGTGGGACATGGCACTTAAAGGGCATTTTAGACTATTCCGTAAAAAAACAAAAAACTAATGTTTAAACGTTGCTCGTCTTTGTTGCACTCGAACAAAGAATGAATTTTAAGTAAAAAGAATAGTGTTTAGATACATTCACTATTAGAATATGTGCTGTACAGTCTGGGTTTGCAAAGCATAGTTTGGATAGTGTAGTGTTACACATTTGAAACTGGTAGCTGAACACAACGTGCAGCAGAGGCAAATACAAGTGCATTTTAGTTTGTCCATTGCTGTGGACTCTGCAGCAAAATCAAATGTGTCAAATACGGAGTCATATTGAGGACATAAATATTTCAGTGACTCATCTGTTTTTACTTTGACTGAGCAAAACATGTTATATGACTGTTATGGGAAAATGTTGAGTATTCAATTGTTATTGTTGACTGAGAAATGTTTCAGTTACTGTCGTCTAAATATGATTTCTTTTTTTTTTAATTCAATGCCATTTTGCCATTCACTTATTTTATGCTTTGAGCATCCTCTTTGCTGTACTACTCTTTACATTCTTTTTGTATTTTTTTGAACATGTTTTATGTTGTCTGTCTGCACTTTCACACATTGCCTCTTTGTTTTGTTTTAGTTTTTCTCCTTCTTTGTGTTTTTGCTTAGTAAAACTCCCAGAAAAGCAGTTTTATTCCATGAATATCAAGCCTCTACTGGACGATTCAATAAATTTCTTTCAATACTTCCAATATGTCTGTCTCTTTTATGAAGAGCATGTGTTTCTTTTTTCTTTTTTTTTGCGCCTGTCCGTTTAATTAAAGGCCATCCATGCAAAGAAAATATGTATCATGGTATTGTCGGGAACTTTCAAAAACACAGCCACTGTGTGTGCGTGTGTGTGTGCATATGAACATCCTTCATCGGCAATATCAAGTGCATTTGAAAGCCATTTTCCAGGAAAATGCATTAAATGATGGGTTCCCCTTTGTTTTAAGGGACACATGCTGGAAGAGTTTACAACTATTTTCCAGGAAGCTCCCCTGGAAATCACTGACTTAAATGTGTGTGTTTGTGCGTGCAGGAGTTCCATCTGACTTCATGACGTGGGTGGTATGGTTGCACAGTGGTTAGTTCTGTTGCCTCCCAGGAGTTTGCATGTTTGCCCCAAATTCCACAGAGAGGCACATCAAGGTGGACTAGAGACTCAGAATGCTGGTGAGTGTTCACATTCCCTGCGTATTGCAGCCCTGTGATGGTCTAATAATCCGGAGGTATCGCCCGTCTTTCATTTACAACTCTTGAACACAGAATGGAAGGCGGGCTACAAAACACATTAAGATGGCCTCAATACAATTTCTGGAAATATGTTCATAGATTTCGCAGTTTGGTCTAATAAAATGTATTTCAAAAGATGTGCAATTTCCAGCGTAATTTGTGGGGGCATTTCTTTTCAGTCTGGCAGCATAAAATCATTATTTTGTTAAATAAAGCCCCACTATATTATGGTATTGTTTTGTACTTTGTTAGTCCAAGAGTTTCAATATTTAATATTTAATGTTACCATTAAGTGATTAACAGATTATTTTTTTTATTTTAGAGGCACATAGTTTTAAATAAAGAATGCATTGCCTGTAATACACAACCGTTGTTTTACCAGGCATGTAGCAATATGCTATAGATTGTTTTAAAGGATGTGAAATTAACCTCTGCTACCACCTGCTGGCTAAAGTTATCCACCGCCTTTGGAGTTTATTTTTTACTTAATACTTTAACTTAATACATAAACGACTCATAACGTTCGCATATATTTTCTCAACAAATGACTTTCACACATTTGTAAAACTCTCTCCATAGGTGTTTGCAATCACCGATTTCAAAGACATTCGTATGGCTTGAATAAACAGACGGAACCGCGTGTCGGAGGCGGGGCCTTACGTCACCGGAAACAGGAAGTGGACGAATGAACCGTCGCTATGTAACATCAACTTGTGGGTAACCTGCTGTAGCACACCTCCATGCAGCTGGGACGAGGTCAGCCTGGATTCTCAATTCTGTTTTGTTTTCTCAGAGTTTTTGTCTAACAAACTGTACTTAAGTTACACATTTACGGGACAGGGAAACGTCGCGTTAGCGTGACCTTTAGTGTTAGCTTCACGCCCATTGAAAAATGAAGCGTAAAAATACGGAGTTGTTGCCGTCTGGACGTTAAGCTAAACAATGTTAGCTAACAGGTGTGAGCAGAAGTTACGGCAAAATCCGGGATGTGACCGGCATTCGTCCTTCCGTTCGTTATTTAAATAATAAAGCACTGTTGCTAATACGCCGAAGCACTGACTCGGTTACGTTCACACTTGTTCTCTCCCCCTAACCAGATGCCCCACATCTGCCCTAACATGCGACGGGTCGGCTTCTCCCTCCTCCGCCACCACATCTCCTTTCCTCCCTCCTCGCCCACTGTCCACTCGGGCACCAGGGCGTGCTGTCTCCGCTTGGGGGTCTTCGCCCGTCACCGGAGCTCCGTCGCGGGTCACAGCTGGCAGCGCGAGAGCCACGTGACCTCGGCCCTCGGGTCGCACGCGCCGGACCTGACCGGGCCCGAGCAGAGGCTGCTGAGCAAACTGTACGGAGGGCTGATCGGAGGTCAGCGGGCGTCCCTGGCCGAGTCTATCACGTTGGTGGAGACCCAGCACGCCAGGAAGAAGGAGCTGGCCCAGGTGCTGCTGCAGAGGGTGCTGGCCTACAGGAGGGAGCAGGAGAGTCGTAATGGAGGGAAGCCGGTGGCTTTCAGAGTGGGTGTGTGGTCGGTTTTAGTGGCTAAAGTCCTTTGTTTTCAACCAGCGGTTCCACCAATGGAGCTGACTTATACACTACACTCCCTGACTAACAATGCAGCAGATCTGCCACTTTTAATAATGTTTGTCATCGAGGTCTATATATATAGTCTTCCCCCTTTCAAACAGGGAGGGTAAAATATTAGAAAAACCTTTCAGTTTAATGCAATCCATTTGAACACATACTACTTACTCGGTGATAAACTCATGCTATAGTTAACTGGGTACGTCTGTCCCTGTCAATCACAACTTAACAACCGTTTTAATGGTACAGCTTATGGCTGAACCCTTCTATTGAATTACATTAGCTTTTACAAGTGTACCAAATGAATTGGCCTCTTGAGTTTATTTATAAAGGCCGCGTCTCCAATGTACAGTTACGCACGTCACACATGGCTCAGTGTTACTTGGTGTCAGTTTATAGCAATTGAATGAATACAACTTTGTTTAGGGACCCACCCCTGCGAGCACAATGTAATTACTCATTCTATTTGAAAAGGATTTGACACAGTCCCACGGGAATGTGGGCCGTTCCCACTTAAAAATGCTTCTTGTCAAAATACAGTGTTCCCCGTGTTGCCAGTAGCGCCGAGTGCGAAAAGTGGTCAGTGGCAGGTTCCTTTTTCAGAACGGCACAAGCCGATCTCAGTTGGGTATTCAGCGACATGCATATTCCATGTAACGTTAAATGAGTATCTTCATGGCCACGGGCTTCCCGTAAATGTTTTCTAATTTTACTGAGAAGGATCCTACCACCGACCACTTTTCGGCACTCGGCGTCTATTCCGTGTTCCACTGCACAAAAACACAAGAATCTCTTGGAGGGTTCAAAAATACAAATGGTTTATTTAATCCCATTTGGTAAAATAATTGCAGTCACTGTTTTGGTGTACGCAGGTGTGTACCTTCCTGTTAAAAACATTAAGTTCACACACAGGCTTACAGCCCGTCACGTTTTCTCATCTGCTGCATCGATTCAGTCACCAGTGTTAGTTAGAAATCTGTAGCCGTAAATTACGCTATTAAGTGAGAACAAAAAAATCTGTTCTCTGTGTCATTTGTTGCTGATTTGATTGCTGTGATTTCTCAGGGCTGTCCGGTCCCCCGGGAGCAGGGAAGTCGACCTTCATCGAGGTGGTGGGGAAGATGTTGACGGGACGCGGGCATAAGGTGTCAGTGCTCGCCGTTGACCCGTCTTCCTGCACTACAGGAGGTAAACACAGATCGTCATTGCATAGAACTCCACAGAAGAGCTGCTGTCGGGTGACTCACAATACATAGAAGATTTTGGTGTGAACGTGTACGGTAACGTGTTGTGCACATGTTTTATGCATGTTCTGATGTCTTAATTATGCTACAGATGTGATACTTGTAGAATTAACAGCGGCACCTTTTGCAGGAATTACGTTTGACTTTCCAGACACCACTGACTCCTCCCTCTTTCTGCAGGGTCTCTGATGGGCGACAAGACTCGTATGACTGAACTCTCCAGGGACATGAGCGCTTTCATCAGGCCTTCGCCGGCCTCAGGAACACTCGGTGGAGTCACCAGAACAACCAATGAGGCCATTGTCCTCTGTGAAGGAGCGGGATATGACATTGTCCTGGTGGAGACCGTAGGTAGGATGTTCATTCTTAAAATGTATATTTTCTCAGGCTATAATACTGTATTTTATCCATTCGAGACAGATTTCTTTGACGTTTTAATTTGGGTCTACTTGTTTGGTTTTCCTTTCTATAAAATGGACATATTTGTGTTTTAATTTCAGTAACTATCTGACTTAAGCATAACAAACTACTCAACAATCTCAGAAAGTATTTATCGTAACTCTCAGGACTTAGTTTTTTATGTTCATCCCTAAAGACACAAGTGGGTCAATACGAGCTGTTTGAATTCATTCAGTTTGACTTTATTTCCTATTTATTTTCTTTCTATTCTTTGAGTTGCTTTTATACACAATACTGTAGGATACAACATTCAACGCAGGGCACCTTATTTTAGTTCTGGTCATTGATCTACTTGTTTTTGCTTGGTTTGCTTTGATATATATTGCTGAGCAGCGGTTTGTTTTTAGGTGTGGGCCAGTCAGAGTTTGCCGTGGCCGACATGGTCGACATGTTTGTGCTGCTGATCCCGCCAGCAGGGGGCGATGAACTCCAGGTCAGTGAAAAACGTGAGCAACCAGCTTCTCAGTGTCCAATGTTGTTGGAAGAAAGAGAATATAAGATGTTTCAGGTTCAATAAAGTTGTCAAGTTGGATCTGATAGTCTTTAAAACAGTTTATTGAATAGTATTATTTGCCTTTTCCTTTCAATAAACCTCAGTTAAGTTTGTTTTTATTTGCACACGCAATCTTAAAGGAAAGGTTTGGATGAAGTGAAGACTCATTACTCACCACTGGTTCTGATGGAGGCATTAGATGATCTAATCAACATTTTGAGTTACCTTTTTACAAATTTACATCATTAACCGGAAAACTGACTTATACATTTGCATGTGTATTTAAAGATGAGGATGTTGACATGAACTATAAGCCCACCATCCCGCATCAATGTTGGCCAAATTCATAATATTACTGGGATTATTAGGAGACGCTACAAAGCTCAGTTGTCATTTGTTTTGACAATTTTTTGTATCTTAACTGAAAATCAACTTATGGTATTCACATTGTAATCAGAGTATTTTCAACAGCAAAGTCTGACTTGTTTAAAATATAAATTGCAAAAGTGCCACAAAACTATGTGACCTTTAGAAATTAGTTTGCGTTATTTTATTTTGGCTCACATGTCTCAAGTAGAGCAACGTAAATCATAAAGCCCGAACACCACTGCAGCCGGAGACGTTCTCTACATCTGCTCCAGCCTTGAGTCACCAGCTGAATTCAAAGATCTGAACTGAAAAGACATTTCAACCCGTGATTTCGACAGGTCAAGGGCACTTCTTAGAGTAACTGCTTCAAATAAGCTCAGCTGCATTCGGATCATTCCGAAGCTGACGGCAGTGAGGGATCGATACAAAGCAACAATATCACAGCAATAAATTAGTGAACTGGCAGCTGACCACAGCTCCATCCATCACTCTGTACACAGATCCCTCAGCAGATTAGCTGTCTAGACATCAGATTTATTTACAGTGTTTTAAAAAGTTAATGACGCCCCCAACCCTCCCCTCCCGCCTCCTATTTAATGCCCAAATCTCTGTGCAGGGTATCAAGAGAGGCATCATCGAGCGGGCCGACTTGGTGGTGGTGACGAAGTCGGATGGAGACCTGCTGGTGCCGGCCCGGAGAATCCAGGCTGAATACACCAGCGCACTCAAGCTGCTCCGGAGACAGTCCAAGTCCTGGAACCCTGAGGTGTGTGTGTGTGTGTGTGTGTGTGTGTGTGTGTGTGTGTGTGTGTGGAGTGGAGTGAGACACGGCGCCATGACATCAGAAGGACAAGCATTTCACAATAAAATAGAAAAGGTTAACAGACAAGTGTTCAACATCTTGACCTACTCGGCGTCCGGGAGAAACATCCGTGGTGTTTCCCTCCGTGTACTGAAACAAGCCGCCCCGCTGAGAGGTCAGGTGACCCCGGACGGGGCAGGAGGAGGAGGAGGAGGATGATGATGATGATGATGATGATGATGTCATCATGCTTTCAGTACTGCAGTGTCCCACCCAGCCCTGCATGTCCCAGCTCACCCGCCCGCCTGCCTGGCCTTGTCCTTTTGTTTTCCCAGCCCAATGCAGCAGTCTGCCCAGTGGGCAAGCTGCCAGCAACCCCCCCCCCCCCCCCCCCCCCCCCCCCACTCCAGCCCCTACTGCTGCTGCTCTGAATGTTGGGCTGCTGTCTCATGCATTTCGCTGATTAGAAGGCTGCGCACTCCACATAAAGGCCGATATGCGTCTCTTCGTAGGCTCTCTCTGTACTTATCCGTACGTCTGCTGTCTCTTTTGTGTCTGTCTTTTACAACCATAATCTCTGATTTGGTCTCTCGGCGTCGCTCCTCTTCATCAGTCGGCCCCGCTGTGCTCAGCGTGAAAACATAACATTTGAATGGCGTGACATTAACATTGATTTCTAAGTTCTTGGTAATATGTGAAACATCTTGAAACCTAATGATAAACTACCTTTGCTGAAAATTAGGGCTGCGTTGGCATTCCTTTCTAAAATGTCAGGATGATCAAGCAGGCATATTAAAAGTATTTGTATTAACAGTACAAGATCCAAAGAACATCCAATTGGCAATATAAAACAAAGATAAAGAGGAACATCAGAGAACTTTGCACGCCGCGTTTTTAAAAGCGATACATCAATAAACCTTTACGTACTCCCTCCTCTTACTGATAAGCTCAGGTGCCTTAAAAAATATGTTTGAAAATGCGTTTACAAGGCCAGGATGAGGTTGAAATAATACTTTTGAGTAGTTTCATGGGCTGTTGCTTTTGGACCTGAATATGTCTCCTCCCAGTTCTTAGAAAAGCCCGGCAATCTAAATCCAATTCATCTTCCTTTTTACTGGGACATAAACAGTGTCTTCAAATGTGGACACAAAAAATAAGACATCACTTGCATTATGAGGTCATGTAGTATTTTATTTTTGAACTAGTCCTTTTGAAAGGATAATTAGTAAATGTGGAGTACATTCTGTATCACCAAGTTTGATTTCCTATATTTGCATCAGGCTTGTAAAATGATTCACTTCATGATGTAATTAGAGGACTCTTAATTGGCTGTTGTTCACAGGTCGCCATTTTTTATCCGCTGTCACATCCATCTTAGTGGAAATCCAGTTGCTATCAATTACCACCAAAGGACACTTATCACGTCCTAAAACTTCAGCAGCCTGGAGGTGGTTGAGTATCTCTGGTTTTGTTAGACATCAACACTGAGGTTTTCTCTCTCTTCTCCAAACTTCCTTTTGTCATTTGGATTCACAGCTCTATAATTAAGGGATTCAAAAAATGAAGGTTACATTTCATAGACACGGTTTTCATGGGTCCTCCAAAGCTGAATGAATGTCCTGACCTCCTTTGTATTCCTACATGTGAGGCTCTTTCACTTCTGTGTCTGAGTTGAATTTCATCGTTTCCCTGAATTTCATCATCTGCTCCTGGATCTGCAGCGAGAGAGACATGCAGTCACAACAACGAAGCACTTTTCGGGACACTTATCACCAGATTCCCCGTGTGAACAAGGTGTATATGTGGAAAAATACTGCATTTGTAAAGTGACATGACGGCTTCTTACGGGTTGAAGATGCCTTGCAAAGAAATCTTAAACAAAGAAACCGACTGATAAATCAGTAAATCTCCAAGCTCAAGTTTAAATATCTATATGCAAAACGCTCCTTTATCCTTAAAAATCAAGATTACATATCTTTAAACTGTAAATTTGTATAGCATTATTTCTCTTTTAATTCTTTCCTAACAGCATATTAACATATCCAGGGCAATTGTCAGAACAGAGGCGGACGGGAAAGAAGAGGTTGTGACTTGCAGCAAGGACCCTCTGCTGTAATAGAAGTGTGGACATTGCACCTCTGTAGTATGTGTCTCATCCATTTAGCTACCAGGATCATTTTAAGTTTGATTAGTAAAAATGCTGTGTGCAGTGGATTTTATAAGTAGAGCATTCCAGAGGTTTGCTGCTCGCATAGAAACAGCTGACCGTCCAATTTCACATTATTTGAGGGGGGACAATAGAGTCTCCTTGGCAGCTGCCTTTGTTTCCCTGGAGTTACCGTCCATGCGATTCACAAAGTGGCTTAAAGGAGGCTTAAAGAGTCTTAAATATGAGACACTAGTCTCACTTTTGCAGCTTCCCAAATGTACCGAATGAATAATGCGGTTTTGTGTTGCCTTTGGAGATTTCTTCAAGCTGAACACTGGTTGTTGGGAAAAAAAAGACCATTTTAATTTCACACATTCACCCCCCCCCCACTTACTTCCTCTTCAGGTGGTGCGCGCCTCCTCCCACACCAGCGAGGGCGTTCCGGAGGTCTGGGCGAAGATGGAGTCGTACCGGGACGCCATGTTGGCGTGCGGTGAACTGCAGGGCCGGAGGCGGGCCCAGCAGAAGGTTTGGATGTGGAGTTTGATCCAGGAGAACGCCCTCCTCCATTTCCAGAATCACCCCGGCGTCAGGGAGGCTTTACCCCACCTGGAGGAGAGGGTCACCAAAGGGGCCATCTCCCCGGGCCTCGCCGCCGACCTGCTTCTCAAGGCCTTCTCGTCTCCATCGCCGTAGTAACCGGTGGGAAGGCTCTGTTGGAGAGGGACGGATGCCTGGTCGGGACGGACTGAGGATGCGTGACCTCGGCTCTGGTTTGCACAACAACAATAACAACAACAACAACAAGCAGCCTTGCTTTTCTCACACTTCATGTGAAATTGAAGAACACCTCAGACTGAAGAACCCACTCACCCCCACCCACGGCCCCCCTCCCCAGAAACGTTTGTTGCAGTTCCAACCGCCTGGTAATCTGAGGCAGGTTACTGGGTTTGTCCCCCATGACAAAGACACCACAGACCAACGTTTTGGTAAGATTAGTGACATGCGTGTGGCGTGTTTGCACAAAACCCTTCACCTTAACGAACGGGGTCATTACACAATCATTATGGTGGCCTGCAGTGATTTTATTTTAAATGATACTTTGCTCAGCCTCCTCGTGCAGTGGTCAGCAACGCACACTATTAGTCATTTGTAAGAGATGATCAGGCTCAGAGAACTGGGATTTGTTATCAGTGTTTCCCTTAATGAGCTCCGGCGACTGACCTGCCAAATGGTTTTATTCATAATCTGTGTTCCTGAGTTGAATATTGTAATAAAAGAATGATGTGAGTCCTAAATGGATAAGAGGGTAACATTAAATATGTCGGTACAGTTGTCAGAGCGTTTCTCTGTCCTTGTATCGGCTCATAATCTGAGCAAAGGGGCAGTGATGAATACTACCCCGACCAATATTAGTCCACAGATCGGTCAAAGATGTAATTCATTTCTTTCTGCAGCCAGAAATGTCAGTGTCAGTGTATCGCCTAAATGAGTCAGCTGCTTCTGATGCAGGAAAAACACACGATTAATATATTCTATTACTTCCATAATGCTCTGCATTCCTCCTGGAGGCCACGAGAGTTGCAAAGAGCCACACGCATAACTCCTTATTCATTTAAGCAGACATTCTGCTTCTTCCAGGACCATATACCTGTATAATATATATATATATATATATATATATATATATATATATAGGAACAGACATTTATTGTAAAATGGAATTTCTTTTAGCTGAAGTTACTAAAAAAAGTTTTACTAAAATGATTTAAAACAAAGGCAGATTCTCACATGTGAGGCGCTAAGATCAGTTATACTCAAAGTGATTTTCTGCATAACAGAGTTTGTTGTAGATTGCTTTTGATGCAATGCTGCAAATGTCCGTTTAGCCCAAAGAATTCAACAGAATATGATATCAAAGTAAGTGGGAGCAATTGGGGTCAACTGAACTTATAATAATAATTTTTTATTTAGTCCTTATAAAGCTAGATTTTGAGACAAAAATCAGTTTTTCGGGTCGTGTTCAAGTGGCAGGATCTCTTTACCCCCTTTTCCCAGCACTAGAGGTTTCCCAAGATACCATTTGCCTCAGGGGATCTCATTATTCTAAGGACGGGGCTCTCTGTGCCAACACCTCGGGGCACCGTGATTGCCCCCCCTTCCGAACATCTTCCATCTATCTTCTTCTATGGAGGGGTGCAAGTTCACTCGGAGGTGAGGGCATCAGCGGCTGCTGAGCACAGGCTGCACTGTAGTCTTTGCTTTCAGTGCCCAACCCTCCTCAGGCCCTTTTAGGAAGGGGGGAGGGAAACAGAGCCTGAGGCCCCCCCCCCCGCCCAAAACCGCTGGACGAGCAGGCTCGGGTCGCTGCTGGTTTGCTCCGGCCTGCGTACGAGAGGAAGAATGCCCCCTGAATGCAGATGGATTCATTAGGCCTGAGTAACACCCTTCTCCTCCATCATGCTGACACAAACACACACACACAGACACACAGACACACTGTACTGCTCTGGCTCTTGCAAAAGGGAACAGTGAGTTCTGCAGCCCTGGACACACACACACACACACGGTCGTCTCCAGTGTAAACAACACCATGCGGTTTCACTAAGGAAGATTAACTGAAATGCTGCCGGATCGTGTTCGGCCATTTTAGCCTAAACACAGGACCCCATCCACATGTGTTCAGCGTTTAGCTGGATCCCCTGGATGTAAGCAGGGCACAGGGACCAGGTCTTGAGGCTGGGGGGGGGTTAATGGGACGGCTTACATTGACAGCCTTCTTTTGCGTCAGCAGTCTGAAGTGTGTATGCTCTTCTGAAAAGAAACAGTGTCCTCATTCTGTTGTGGTTCGTCAAAATACTCAGTCCCCCCCACGCCGGCCCCCCACACACAAAAAGACAAGTCTGCGTGACAAATGTGGGCGGCTGCAAACGTCGGCAAACAAACGTGAGCACGTCGTGGCACGATGAGAGACGTCTCGCGTTCTTCACTCTACTTGTTTGGACCAGAGTTCTGGATTGGTTCTTTCTTTCTGGGATCAGAAGGGAAGGTCCAGACCGGCCCCCCCGAACGGCGCTGACTCGGGAGCCGTGCTTGTACCGGTGTGACAAGCGGTCATGGGCCACAAGGCTGATCCGCAGAGCGCCTCCTGCACCTCCTCACCCACCAAGCGCATACCACCACCCCCCACCACCACCACCACCACCACTCTCCCCCCCTTCTCTCTCTTGGAACACGCATTGCGCTCACCTCCCGCGCGCCTTCGTACGTACATACAAGCCACCCATCCCCTGACACACGCACACGCGTGTCATGCCCGCCCCGTGGCCTGACAGGCCCTCCCTGACCCGGCTGGCTGCCCCCCCCGCTCTCTCTCTCTGCAGTGACAAACGAGTGTGCGGAGGCTTTCTTCCGGCTGAATTTGGGCTTTGAGACTGCTGCAAACCGATACGAGAAGCCCCCCCCCTCACAATAATGGGGTTGGAGTGCTGCAGCAAAAGCCCTAAGTGAGCATGTGTTTGTAGATTAACAACCCCCCCTTTTTTTTTTTTATATATGGGGGGGGCGACCCCCGCCTCCCCCCCCTAAATTTATGCTGCCCTTGTGTTTGGAAAAACCCCCCCCCAATTTATTTCTCAATACCAGCCCCTTTCCTTTCTTTTTAACCCCTGGTGGGCGTCGAAAACATCCTCAATGGGGGGGGGGGGGGGGGGGGGGGGGGCAGCAGTTTGTACCTCTGCTTTATTACCCACCTGGGGAGGCTTGCTCTCCCCCTTACACACACACACACACACACACACTCTCCACTGTTTGCTATGTGTAATTTACTGAGCAGCCTGTGGGCCAGGCCTTCATCTGCAGGAAGGCGCGAATGGAGCCTCGGCGCCAGTAATTGGACTTTAGAACTGATTGGGGAACTTGATTGACCCCCGGTAATGGATTTGAGTGAATAATTATTTGTAGTTATGGTTGGAAGATGATATCAGGGAGAGAGAGACGAATCCCACCAGTGTGACTCAACCCTGCCACCAGAGCAGAACGCTGCCAGCACTTAATTAATGAAATCCAGCTGCTCAGACTCCCCACGTGTAGCGGCTGATCAAAAAAAAAAACCCGCACACAGGGTTCTGGTCAGAAAAAGGGGGTTATCTTCAGCCAACCTTTCCCTTTCGTGCAGCCGGCCGCCCGCAGCCCATCACAATAGTCATTATAAAATCTTCTCCACTCCAGGTACAAGACATTAAGGTTGATAATGTCTCCATTATTTTTTAACTGCCGGCGGCGGCGCTCGGCTGCAGGCCCGCGGCGGCCATGTTAATGAGACCTTCCCGAGATGGCAGGCAGCGCCTCCTCAGGACACAAAACGCAATCACTCTTAATCCGGCACTTTAATTGCCTAAGTGAATTCAGCTGTTCCGTATCTGCGGGGCGAGCCGCTGCACCCCGAGAACGCTCGTCGCGCTGGCAAAGATAAACTCTGTTTCAAAACAAATGGGGAGGATCATTTGCAGCGGACCGACCCCCCCTCCCTCACATTGCCTTCTCTTTTATCTTCCTCTCTTTTTTTCCTTCCTTGATCGACCGGCATCACCGTCACCTCACTGCATCTTCTTTTGCATTCCCCTCGCTCTCCGGCCTTTATCCTTTCGGCCAGTCCTCCTGTCACATGTCCTTGCCCCCCCCCCCCCCTCCTTCTTCTCTCCCTGTGACCCCTCATCGCCCTCTTGCCAGTCTCTATTATTTCTGGCTGTCCAGTGGCCTGGTCAGGCCGGTGCTCCAGGCAGCCCGTGTTATGACAGGTAACGCCGGGGCCGCACACTCTCTCCGCTAACATGCGGGAGGGGGGGACGTGGGGGGGGGGGTCAGCCTGTCATACCTGTCCGCAACTCTGCTGTACACCCACACGACGAATGCCGTGATTCACTGGGAATGGATGAGTGCCAGGCGCCCCCCCCCCCCCCCCCCCCCCCCGACGTGGCCTCAGATTCAGTGAGTGATGAGACGCAGCGGAGTAGGAACACACCTTTCCCCGCTCGGCTGCCTCGGGCTTGCAAAACAAGGTTGTTTCTTTTCTCCTCACGTAGGTTTTTTTTAAATGATGCGTTGCGTTCACACTCAACCAGCGGGCAAGCTGTACTTGTTGTTGTTGTTGTTGTTTAGCACAGACGAGGAGGACTCAACCGCATAGTGGCTGCTAACTACCGCTGCACTGCCGTCTCTCTCCTGCTCCCCCGAGTTGATGACCAGTCACAGTTTCTGCCTTGAGGGGCAGCGGGACGGAGTCAGACATCATCGGACCCCCTTCACCGCACCTCCAAGACCATCTGCTCCAACGAGAGAAAACGTGTTCCTTCTGTTATTTGCCTTTTACGCCCGTTATTTTTGGCTTGTAAGAGGCGGCGGCGACGGCGAGTTAAAATTGGTTTTGTTCATAACAATCCCAAACCGTATTACTCCAGCGGAGCGTCCAAGTGTGTTCCCAGAACGGATTCCCTGCTCGCGATGTCTCAATTTGTGTCCAGCTGCCCTCCATCAAGCAGTGAAAAGCCAAAGTTTCGTAAGGTTCAGGCCCAGTAATGAGAACAGTCATCCTCTGCCCGAGTGGACAAGCTCCATCCACCCTGGACAATATGGTAGCGCCCCGGTAGTCGATCAGCGCCGCTTGTTTGGGTGGCATGTTCCTGGCTCCCTGTCTGATCCGGGGCAGAAGCCCCCCACACTGCGGCCTGCGAGGGGCCAGCATGGGTTTGTCACGCCAGGTCGACGTTTCGGGGAGCTTTGCCAGGACGCCGCGGCACATTTTGGTCCTCCTGGACGGCGGCGTGGGAGCGAACGCGTCAACTTTGGCAGATGGGCCGCTCGTCGCTGCCAACAGCACCGGACCGCTGGCCTGGCAACTGTCAGCCAGCCAGCCGGCCGGCCGGACGGACGTAGCGCTTCCTGGCGCGCGGTGGAGGGACAAGTGTCTCCCTCTAGCAGCGAGCTGTGGGAACGCGTCCGTCCACATGGTGTCTGCGTGTGTGAGAGGAAGAATCAAACCATACAAAGTTGTTAAAACACACGGTGCAGAACAGTACTGTATGTAACGTGCGTGTGTCCCTATCAGCTAAATGGACACGTTTCTAACATATACAAATATTCTGGGTAAATTACTCAGAAGTCATAAATCACAATAACAACCAATCTAGACTTTGACAAGTTAACCAGCCGTAAACAAGAATGTGCTGCACTTTAATCCAGGGAACTCTGGATAGAGTCTTCTGCACTTCTGTAGATTTTTATGAAAGTGTCATGAAAAAACCCCATTTAAGTTGTATATTCATTATTTAACAGACAGGT